GTTAACGTTTATATAAGGCAACACAAAGTTGCTTCTTAATAATTACCTCAATTTACACAGCTTGTAAACACGAATAAACGCCACCGGCATACATTAATATAGTCGCCAACTGCTTAAAAACAAACCTTGGTCGAGCCTGTTCAGAACAAACAGGAGCGCGGAGCTGACTGATGACGTCACCGACGAAACGACATAAAAGTCCCCTGTCTAAAATCTCTAAATACAAGCTGACCACTGATTTGGAAATTGAAATGTGCAGTTCTGTTCAATTCTTAATTATTACTAGGCTACACATATTAATTAGACATGTGGTGTGTATACAGTGCCCTCAATTATTACACCGCCTTTTGAAAATTAATATTTGATTAATTTCAAGCCAATATTTTTTGATGGATTTACAGAAAACACTTTTATTAAACAGTTATATTCCTTACAATAAGAGTTTAATGACAGAACATAGTTACACATAGAAATATAACATTTAAATTATGTTAAAAAAAAAGATAAAGTATAAAAATGCATCAAATTTATATATTTTTAATGTTTTTTTCCTGTTTATTACAATTTTATATATTTGTTCCCAATATATTCATGTTGTTTTTAGTTATGCACAGATATAGTATTGTAAAGCATCCTATAGGAAATATTAGAGTAATGCTATATTAAATGTCAGATTTTAATAATCATCCTTTACGCTGAGCACTGTAAATAAAGCTCACATGACATTAAATGTTAATTTGGGCCTGAATGATATTAATAAAAGATCCAGTCTATAAATAACCTCGGGATTAAATAAGGAGGGTGTTATTGGGAAGGAAAACGTCCTTAAATATGTTCTGCACCTCAATTGACATTCTATCTGTCCTATAGAGTATCAGAAAATAAATTTAGTGTGCCCATACATCATAGCATGTTTAAATGAGTTAGCGGAGTAGATTTGGAAATGCAGAACAACACAATCTAATTAATATAGGCAATAATACCTATAACACCCGATATACTTACAGTTACATAAAAACACAAATTAATTGAAATAATTTCAAACAAAATCTGACTAAAACAAAGTTTATTTTGAATTTGTTATTGCAATTATGTTCTATCTTTAGTATATTTATGGAAATCTGTAGTTAGTATAACTCATTCTGGCATTACATGCTGCCTAGATATTCAATTATTATTTTCCAGGCTTACTAGGCTTGAAACAGCATCTTCCCCTAAATCAGTGTTTCTCAACCATGTTCCTGGAGGACCACCAGCACTGCATGTTTTATATGTCTCTTTGCTGATGATCTGAATCAGGTTTATTTGGTAAAGGAAACAAGGAAAATGGGCAGAGCTGGTGATCCTCCATGAACGTGGTTGAGAAACAGTGCCCTAAATGACAAACAAATGAAACCAACTATGCCACCCTGTGGGACACTGGCTATGGGATGCACATTTAATCAAGTTACACTTGCATATATACAATCCTTCTCATGAACACTTAATAACTGCAGGACAACAATATAATTTACTTGTTTATTTAACAAAACACATAGCTAACATTTCAAATAGCAGATAATATATACAGACGATATTGTGTCTATAGTAATACACTGTACATTAGTCCAATAAGATTTTTTTTATTCTTCATTTACTTTTTTAAAATTCTTTGTTTTTGTCCTGTCAGTAATGCTGTTGCACTGTGGAAACTGTCACAAAACTACTTCCTCGTATGTGCGAAAATACCTGGTAATAAAGCACTTTCTGATTCTGATTCATACAAAGAATTCAAGTCCTTAATAATAGTTTCTTCACACTGACAGTCTTTCAAAAACTGATAAAGAACTGAAGAAACAAAGTGATTACTTTAGTTTTATGCGTGGGCTTTGATCGGTTCCTCGTTCACTCCGCTGTGGCGACCCTGGATTAATAAAGGGACTAAGCCGACAAGAAAATGAATGAATGAACTATGTCCCTTTAAACTTGATTCGACATTAACTAGACAAGAGCCAATATGTGGAACACCAACAGAACCAATGGTCCAACAAATCAGCTTGGTGCGTCACAGGCCTAAAGTTCTTGCCACGCAATCCACAGGTGTGAAGCTTTTACCTATCATGAAGCATCACATGGGAATCACGGGATTCAAGCTCTGTCTGTGCTGTTGGCAAGTGTAAAGTTTTTCTCTTTAATGTAAACTATCCTGTGTCTTTAAAGGGTCACGAAACACCAGAACACATGTGTTGAGCTGTTGTCAGTGGTATATGTGTCCCACACTGCTAAAAACACTATTAGGACACCTATATCTCACTAAAAAGTGTACATTGATTGTTTTTGCGTTATATCAAGCAAATTCGTACTTCCGGTTTGAAACGAATTTTTGAAGCTGCGTCACGGTCATGAGATAATAGCGTGTATTCCAGCGTGCAGACTGGACGTCTGTGCCAGAGTGTGTCTTATTACGTCTTACAGTGTGCTGCATTAATGCATGAGTAAAGCTTGGTTCAAACCAATCAGCGCACTCTATTGTGCAACTTCATTAATATTCATTACTGTCACAGTGTTTAGACGACAGAGACGCCACGTTGTGTTGGCAAAACAAGCGTGAAGTGTTGCTTTTATAGTTTGCTGCAGTGAAGTTTTGTTTTCATTTTCTCTCTGTGAGAGCTCAGCTGGAGTCACGTGTGGATTAACAGTGTACGCGACGCTCGACAACAATAACTTACGTGTCTAAGGAGGATTATTGTTTACCTGAGAGCTGTTCTCATCTGCAAACGCTGAGATCCGGATTCGTTTTAGTCTCCTCTTAATAAAGACGCGGCTCTAGTTGCTGGTGATTGTCCTGTCTCTACAGATTTGGTAAGTGAGCGACCAGTGCTCTTTGTTTATTCAGTTTGTTCATATCGAATTAAGTTAACTATTGCACCGAGTGTAAACATGTTAGCACCACAACCAAACTATTACCTCATGTAGGGTTTTCACCGCATTTTGTGACCGGAATAACACACGCGGCTTTCTGACGCCACCTGCTGTGTGCATGTAAGTTTCCGGGAAATGCGGAGGGTTTTTTTCTCTCATTCGCCGTGCGGTATCAAACACTGCATGAAAAATACACGCTTAGAGCAGCTCCTCGAATCAAATATCTCGTTTGTCGCGAGGGGCATGAATGAATTCCCTGAATGAAAGAGCCAAACTGCAGTTAAAGTCCAACATTTAATAATTTGGCAAATAATTCGACTACAGATGTCCATGTAGGTTAAACACCATCACTTTCTCCTGAATGTGTGTGTGTGTGTGTGTGTGTTTTGACTCTGAAACTCGCGCGTGCCCAAATAGACACTCCCACACCATCCCACTTTTCTTCCTCCGACACTCCCCCCTAAACAGAGCTGGACACGCCCACTTTTCTGACTTTTTCCAAAGTAGAGGTGTGAAAACACCCTGCTGAAACGAGGGGGTTTCATGGCCCTTTAAAGGTTTATTTTAGTAATGCAACTTTCCACTCTGTTGGCAAGTGTAATGCTCTCTCCGATATGAACCCTCATATGGTCTGAAAGGTTTTTTTTCCATATGAAACTCTTTCCACACTGATGGCAGGTGTAAGGCATCCCTTCAGTGTGAATCTTCATATGGTTTTTAAGGTTTTGTTTCAAAGTAAAACTGTTTCCACACTGTTGGCAGGTGTAGGGCTTTTCTCCAGTGTGAATCCTCATATGATCGGTGAGATTTTGTTTCCAAGTGAAACTTTTGCCACACTGATGGCAGGTGTGAGACTTTCCTCCGGTGTGACTCCTCATGTGTACTGTATGGTAACGTTTCCAAGTGAAGCTCTTTCCACAGTATTGGCAAGTGTAAGGCTTTTCTCCAGTGTGAATCCTCAGATGGTCTGTAAGGTATTGTTTTTGAGTGAAACTCTTTCCACACTGTGTGCAGGTGTGAGGCTTCTCTCCAGTGTGAATCCTCATATGCTCCGTATAGTTTTGCTTCCAAGTAAAACTCGTTCCACACTGTTGGCAAGTGTAAGGCTTTTCTCCCGTGTGGATCCTCATGTGGTCTTTAAGGTTTTGTTTCCGAGTAAAACTCTTTCCACACTCGTGGCAGGTATTAGATTGACTCTTCAAGGCTGCTTGTTCTGAAGAGGTTTCCGTCTGTTCTGATTCTTCTCCAGATGTGAAATCAGGACATCCTTCATACTGATCCTTCTCCTCAATTTGTTTCTGGTTTTGACTCTCATCTTTTATTGGCATCAGTTCTACAGTGGAGGAAAAAAAAGACAAATACAACCCCATATGTGTAAAACTGATAGTGAAACACTATTTAGCATTAATAACTCAATGCATGTTTGAAACAGTTTGCCATTTCCCATGTACTGTACAATAGTGTGGGTAACATTTTCATTGAAGCCAAAGAGCATTAGCAGACAATATGTGTAAAACATAAAAATATCAATCTGTAAACATTTATAATATTTTAAATGAGGGAAATAAAGATGTGTTACGGATGTGATTGAAAAGTTAGTGAGCTTGCAGTATACAACATACTTTGTAGAAATTCGTTTAATTTAACTGCACAACTCAAAAGGAATAATGCTGATCGAGAGGATAAGAGTTGCTCACTATAGAACAAAAACAACTGATTTTATCTTATTTGACATTTTTTGTAATTATAAGGAAAAAGCTCCGTTATGGATGTGACAGGTGTGAAACTGGCACTTGTGTGATTTTGGTAAATCAAACACAATAGTTTGAAAACATTAACAGAGACATTGAGTATTTTTAAAGCACTGTAAAATACTTGCCTACACAAAAACGCAGAAACGGTTTTAAAATTTTTATGAAAACTTGACATTTGCTTGGAATTGTCATGCTTAAAAGTTGACTAGTCTCCTAAGCAGTGTTTATTCAAACAGTTTGGCAATTTGTAATCCTCAGCGGATGTTAAATATGATGAATATGATGTCAGATAAAGCAGTTTAATGAGAAATATTGATCAGTGTTGAGCTGCAGATCTGAATGAGGATCAAATGTTGAGATTTGAGGATGAAAACCAACCTGTTTGTTCCTCAGGATCTTCATGTTTGACTCTGAAAGCTTCTTCAGTCTCTTCATGTTTGACTGTGAATGTTTCTTCAATCTTGATGTCTTCACTCTCCTCTTTAATAAACGCCATCTTCATAATATTTAACATAAAACTGTCAAGATCAAGATGAAGACAATCAGTAACAGGGAAAAATGAACTAAAACTCTTGTCAAATTCAACAATCTAATTTTCTGCTTACCAGCGACTGATTTTTTGTTAATAATAAACTGCTTCACGATAAAAATTAAAAAAAATGAATAAATAAATCGCAGCTTTTCTCTTATTCGTATATCAGACGTCAAAATAGCGTTCGTTCACGTTTGGATAACACAACAGTCAGGAGCGCGCCGCCGCCTGATGGCGTCACTGACAAATCGACATAAAAGTCCCGTGTCTAAAAGCACAAAATACTGGCTGACCGCTAATGTGCTTAAAAAGGTTAAACTGTCGAATGAAAATTACAATTTAATTATATACAATAACTCTGTATTAAAAAAAAAAAAAAAAAAAAATATATATATATATATATATATATATATATATATATATATATATATATATATATATATATATAAATAAATATAAAATATATATAACTTTGAATTATATTATTTACAAGTAAAAACAATTGTGTACATATAATAAACCAGATATGTTACCAGAAACGTACATTATCTGACCCTAAACAAAACACAAAAACAGTGAATAAAAAGTATTTCATCCCCCAAAAAATGTCTGATGAAATGGACTGATTTCTGTGAGTAAAGGAATATGTCATCCATTCGGTTCTCAGTTGTTTGTTTTTCATTAAAAACACTTAAATGTACAAACCCGGTCACTGTGCTTGTCCTCAGCCCAGCTGAACCTACAGCTTTAATTGTTTTGTTATGCTAGAAGCTGTTATTTATAAAGAAATAGAACAGAAACAGCAAGTTTAAGCTGTTATCATTCACACCAACTAATCAAAAACACTTAATTATTAATACATTTTACAAATAAATACTACAAATATACAATACAAAGAATTTTACAATTGTCCCAAAGTTTCTGTCAGTTCACATTTGCAGTAAATTTAATATAAAATGTGTGCAATACATTTAAGGATATGACTGGAAGTGATGTTGATTGATGGAGGAGAAGCAGTGATCAAAGATGCGTTCAATCATTGAATTGTATGATTTTATGCTTGTTTTTGTATGATTTTTTTGAGGACGGCAAGCTTAAGGCAGGCCTTGTCACGTTTTTTTATACGTGAAAATGTACGTTTCTGGTAGAATGTCCCAAATAAAAAAATATATAATAAAATAAATTTGAAAAAAATAAGAATTAGAAAATACTCAGAATGCATTAATGAATACACGTTTAAACAAGTAACCAAAATTTTAGCAATCACCTTTTGATTGGTTAAGAGTATTAATTGGTCTGTAATTACCAGGCACAGTATCACCTTTTCTTGTTTCTCAAAAGACACACGTTTAACATGTTTTTAGCTCAATTGAACGATTTAACATACAAAGCCGTAACGCAGCCAATACAGACGCTTCATTAAGTTCTATTCCACCTGGACCAGTAGTCTTCCCACTGGAAAGTGTGCTTACAATGCTTAAATATTAAAGTGTTTTCGTGAAATGTCATCATCAACTGCCACCATCTTATCCAGCATATGTTTTTTACGCAGCAGATGCCCTTCCAGCTGCAACCCATCACTGGGAAGCCCACACACACTCGTTCACACACATACATTAACTATGGACAATTAGCCTACCCAATTCCCCTGTACCGCATGTGTTTGGACTATGGGGGAAACCAGAGCACCTGGAGGAAACCCACGCGAATGCAGGGAGAACATGCAAACTCCACACAGAAACGCCAACTGACCCAGCCGAGACTCAAACCAGTGACCTTCTTGCTGTGAGGCGACATCACTACCTACTGCGCCATAACTTATTTACCTCAGGTGTTTCCCTAAATGAAACGGTGAATATAAACAATAGCATGAAAATCTTAATAAAGGAATAAACACATGAAGTAAATTCGTATTAAAATCAGTTTTATATATATTGTGCAACATATAATTACAAAGTCTTTATGCACAGTATATATTCAATTCAGCTTTATTTGTACAGCGCTTTTACAATGTAGATTGTGTCAAAGCAGCTCCACATAAATGGTCAGAGTAACTGGATCAGGGTAGTTCAGTTTTTAGTGTTTAAGTTCAGTTCAGTTTAGCTCAGTTCAGTGTGGTTTGAAGTCATTATTGAGAGTCCAAACACTTAAGAGCAAATTCATCGATGGGTAGCTCTAACGATCCCAAACCATGCAAGCCAGTGGCGACAGCGGAGAGGGAAAAAAACTTCACCAATAGGAGAGTTAAGAAAAAAAACCTTGAGAAAAACCAGACTCAGCTGGGCACGACCATTTAAATTTCTCCGCTGGCCAAAAGTCTTGTGCAGAGCTGCAGACTCAGCGGTGGAGGCTGGAAGCTGGCCTCAGTGAAGACTCGTCTGTCCCTGGAGAATCACTGGAATCAGTCTCATGGTCTTCACTCCTCCATGACCACCAGCAGCTCAGGATACGGCCTGGTCCCGGATATGGACACCTTGGGACCATCTCGACGCTGGTCTTGGATCTTGGATTACAACCAGGCGTGAAGGTCATGTGACCATTAGGAAGAACTCAGCATCTCATTCCTCACAGGACGCATACTTTGTTCTCGTGGTCTCCTGAGTTCATTCTTCCGAGGTGACCTGCCAAAACTGATCGTCACAAGAGCACAAGTCCGTTCTCTGCGTTCTTGGAATTGAGAAACAGCCCTCGATTAGGCTTGTTCAGCGGTGTTAGATTAGGGTTGACGCTAAACTCTGCAGGACATCGACCCTCCAGTAACAAGTGTGTTGATCCCCGTCTTAAGGCTGATTTATACTTCTGCGTTAAACGCCGGCGTATGCTACAGCGTTGATGCATAGTCCTTCGCCGTGGCCGTCAGCGTCGCAACGACGCGTAGCGTAAGCTCTGTGATTGGTCGGCTTGGTAGCGCTGACGAGTCTGGGCGGGACCGAGAGCCGCGTGAATGGTGTGAGCCTGATGGAGCGATTGTTTACAAGTGTGGAGTCCCGTGAAGGAGCTCCTGATGGAAAGTTTTGTTTTGTGTTTACCTCATAGTTAAAGTTGTTGCACGTCCGCCGGTTCCTGCCTCAAAATGAGCGAGTTTGAGCCACTTGTACATCCCGGAAGCGTTCAGGAAAAGCAAAACAGCAGAGAAGAAACTCGACACAGAGGAACATTTACACCTCACTGCCCACTAGCGTTTCGGAAGTGTTAATGCAGACCAACAGAGACAGCAGCAGAAGTATAAATGCACAGCTACAGGCTGTGGGGTTACGCCGGTCACTTGACGCAGAAGAATAAACCAGGCTTTAAATTCTTTTTAACTCTTGCCAGGAGTAAGGCTTGTTTTAGTGTGAGTTAACTCATGTCTTCTACTGTTCCCTTTAGTAGAGAAACACTTTCCACAGTGTTGGCAAGCATACGGTTTTTCTCCAGTGTGAACCTTGAGATGTTGTGCGAGGACATTTCTCCAACTGAAACTCTTTCCACACTTATGACAGGGGAAACGCTGCTCTCCAGTGTGAGTACTCATATGCTCAGTAAGTGTTTGTTTCTGGGTGAAGCTCTTTCCGCACTGAGGGCAGATGTGAGGCTTTCCTATAGTGTGAGTCTTCATGTGGTTTGTAAGGTTTTGTTTCCAAGTGAAACTCGTTCCACACTGATGGCAGACGTAAGACCTTTCTCCAGTGTGAATCCTCATGTGGTCTTTAAGTTTTTGTTTCCGATTGAAAGACTTCCCACAGTGTTGACATGCGTGAGGCTTTTCTCCAGTGTGAACCTTTATATGGTCTGTAAGTTTTTGTTTCCGATTGAAAGACTTTCCACACTGTTGGCAGGTGTAAGGCGTTTCTCCAGTGTGAACCTTCATATGTTCTTTAAGCTTATGTTTCCGAGTGAAACTCTTCCCACACTCATGGCAGGTGTAAGGCTTTTCTCCAGTGTGAATCCTCATATGCTCATGAAGGTTCTGATTCCAAGTGAAACTCTTTCCACAGTGTTTGCAGATGTGAAGCTTTTCTCCAGTGTGCATCTTCATGTGGTGTTTAAAGTTTTGTTTACAAGCGAAACTCTTTCCACACTGTTGACAAGTGTAAGGCTTTTCTCCGGTGTGAACTCTCATATGGTCTATGACAGATTGTTTCCACTTGAAACTTTTTCCACACTCTTGACAAGGGTAGGGCTTTTCTCCAGTGTGAACCCTCATATGGTCTATAACACATTGTTTCCGCTTGAAACTCTTTCCACACTGATGGCAGGTAAAAGATTTGGTCTTCTGGGCTGTTTTTTGCGAGGAGGTTTTTGTCTGTTCTGATTCTCCCCCAGATCTGAAGTCATGACATCCTTCAAACTGATCCTTCTTTTCCATTTTACTCTGATCTTGACTCTTCTGTTTGAATGGCATCGGGTCTTTAATAAAAAAAAAGACAAAACCACATAGATGTTAAAATTAATAGTAAAATTCAATTATCTATTCAAAAAATACTATATTGTTGATTATTGAATTCAATGCATTTTGCAAAAAATTGCCATTTCCCATGTACTGTACTATACTGCGAGTAAAACCTTCGATTAAGCCTGCATGCTTAATGCTTCATATAAGGTATTCTTAATGCATTGGGATGCATCTGAAGACCACTAACACATATTATGAGTAATATTTTAAAATGGGAAACACATATTCACTGTTAACCATTACACATTTTCCTTAACAAGCTCCAAATCCACTGCTCCTTTCAAGAGTTCACACTTAGCTGATGATTGATTGTTTGGCATGCTGTCCTGGAAGAGAGCCCTGAGCTCATAAGATCCTCCCTCAGGCTCCCTCCTGTTTGCAGGGTGAGAGGGGTGTTTGAGCTCAGGTAGATGTGGAGAACTCCCCTGCTGTAGTAGCTAATGAACAGATAGTGATCGCTCTTAAAAGAGAACTACTGACTAGCAGCAGTCAATGGTGCCGATTTGGATTAGTCAATTAACTTAAGTTGCATGTTTTGAAACGTTGGGAGGAACCCGGGGGAAACCCACGTGAGCACAGGGAGAACGTGTAAACTCTGCATAGAAACATCGGCTGGCTTGGTAAAGACTAGAACCAGTGACGTTCTTGCTGTGAGAAAACAGTGCTAACCACTGGGCCACCGTGCCACCCATCTAGGAAAGGAGGAGGAGTAGGGGTGGAAGAGGGGATTCTTTAAAACGAAGATGGCTGTGATATGGAACTTAAGCGTATAGAGGTGTGAACCTATACTGGTCCCACAGTTCGGTTACGAATATCACGCCATCGATTCGATTTGATATCTCTATATTGTGAAATCGCCCACTCCTGTTCAAATTACACCAGAGTTACCGACCGCTCCCATGCTTTATTTGAAAATGTATTCAATGCAGACCTATATCCAGAAGTATCGCTGTAACAGCCGAGAGGAAAAGAGAGGGGAGGAAAAGTCACGCCAGCAGTTGAAATGGGCCACAGTGAGAGAGAGAGAGAGAGAGAGAGAGAGAGAGAGAGAGAGAGAAATGGAGTTCACTTTCATTCCCTCAATCGCTGAGAAATAGGAGCTTCTGCTGTGTCAGTGAAAGACTGTCCAAAAATCACACGCAAGCAGTGAAATTGTGCACAGTTTCTGTGTTTTTAAGTAGTTGGCGTCTGGAGTGTTGTAAATACCCACGCTTGCCTCCCTCACAACAGAGCTGTATGAGCAGGGCTGGCACATCCATAGAGGCGACCTAGGCGGCCGTCTAGTGTGGCAGAATAGAGAGGGCGGTGTCCCCGACACTACCCTCAACAACCGCGCCTCAGTTAGGCTATATTCGCATCTAGGGCGTCGCCCGCGACACTACCCTCACCACCCGCGCCCTCAGTTATATTCGTGTCTAGGGTGGCAGTATAGAGAGGGAGGCGTCAGCGACACTACCCTCACCACCCGCGCCCTCAGTTATATCCGCGTCTAGGGTGGCAGTATAGAGAGGGAGGCATCAGCGACACTTCCCTCACCACCCGCGCCCTCACTTATATCCGCGTCTAGGGTGGCAGTATAGAGAGGGAGGCATCAGCGACACTTCCCTCACCACCCGCGCCCTCAGTTATATTCGCGTCTAGGGTGGCAGTATAGAGAGGGCAGCATCCCCGACACTAGCCTCACCACCTGCTCCTTCAGTTATATCCACGTCTAGGGTGGCAGTATAGAGAGGGAGGCGTCAGCGACACTACCCTCACCACCTGCGCCCTCAGTTATATCCACGTCTAGGGTGGCAGTATAGAGAGGGAGGCGTCAGCGACACTACCCTCACCACCTGCGCCCTCAGTTATATCCACGTCTAGGGTGGCAGTATAGAGAGGGAGGCGTCAGCGACACTACCCTCACCACCCGCGCCCTCAGTTATATCCGCGTCTAGGGTGGCAGTATAGAAAGGGGGGCGTCCACGACACTACCCTCACCACCCGCGCCCTCAGTTATATCCGCGTCTAGGGTGGCAGTATATAGAGGGAGGCGTCAGCGACACTACCCTCACCACCCGCGCCCTCAGTTATATCCGCGTCTAGGGTGGCAGTATATAGAGGGAGGCGTCAGCGACACTACCCTCACCACCCGCGCCCTCAGTTATATCCGCGTCTAGGGTGGCAGTATAGAAAGGGGGGCGTCCACGACACTACCCTCACCACCCGCGCCCTCAGTTATATCCGCGTCTAGGGTGGCAGTATATAGAGGGAGGCGTCAGCGACACTACCCTCACCACCCGCGCCCTCAGTTATATCCGCGTCTAGGGTGGCAGTATAGAAAGGGGGGCGTCCACGACACTACCCTCACCACCCGCGCCCTCAGTTATATCCGCGTCTAGGGTGGCAGTATATAGAGGGAGGCGTCAGCGACACTACCCTCACCACCCGCGCCCTCAGTTATATCCGCGTCTAGGGTGGCAGTATATAGAGGGAGGCGTCAGCGACACTTCCCTCACCACCCGCGCCCTCAGTTATATTCGCGTCTAGGGTGGCAGTATACAGAGGGAGGCGTCAGCGACACTACCCTCACCACCCGCGCCCTCAGTTATTTCCGCGTCTAGGGTGGCAGTATAGAGAGGGCAGCATCCCCGACACTACCCTCACCACCCGCGCCCTCAGTTATATCCGCGTCTAGGGTGGCAGTATACAGAGGGAGGCGTCAGCGACACTGCACTCACCACCCGCGCCCTCAGTTATATTCGCGTCTAGGGCAGAATACCTCCCGCTTTAGGGTTGAGGGCAGCGTGACCGTCCTTTGCCTAAAGCGGCAGTTCAGCTTGCTCCGGCCCTGCATATGAGATAAATGACGTTAGTACATAATAACCGGTTATGATTATTACTGAACCAATACCGACTTGTCCGCGTCTGCATTGCGGTGCACTGAAGAAACAATTAATTTTGACACCCCTATTAGGGTATTTATAGTGGCTTAGGAATCGTCTGATTGGTGAATTATAAACTGAATAATGCGGGACCGGCTGCAAGCAATCATAAGCATGTGATCCTCTCGACTTTAGTTTATAAATAAGCTTCACTTAGTTAGTAAGGTAGTTGTTGTTGCAGTAAGTTGAGGTACAGAGTAGAATTGACTCTTCACCTGCAGTGTGACTCACAAGTGATCATCCAGCCAGTAATAATGCTGATATTCTATGCTCCAGTTGATTTCTGTCATTTTGTCTGACAGGTGTTGTAGTAGATTAACGTGAAAAGTTGTCAATTTGCTCTTAATGGACTTGCAACACAGACAGCAGGTACCCAGAACTGCTGAACAATAAATAATGTCATCTTTTCCCGAAATCTTAAGAAGTAAATGAAATCGATTTTTGTGTGGACGGACTTATTGTCAAATCAATAGTGCAATCACTTGCAAAATGGTAGAACTCAATATTGATGAACTAGTCTTTTCTGTTATTGGACTAGCACAACATACATCATAACTTTATGGAGATGTGGCAAAAACTTGTGAACCACCTGAAGACTTAAAGAACGAATGGTTAAATGAACTAATTTAAACTGCATAGCCTGGAGGCCCAGATAGTGAGTTCATCTTTACTGTCTCTTTTATTTGAAGTACTTTTTAGGGGGCAGTTGTGGCCTAATATTTAGAGAGTCAAAAGCACACAGATTCGAGTCTCGCACAGGGAGGGATTACGGTCACATGTCATGACTCTCACTTCACGTTCACAGATGCATTATAGTTTTGTCTTGTTCAAGATGCCACTGTTTGGTTGTGTGTGAATCCTGTTAGAAATCAATATGTAATATATTAATTATATCCAAATTCCATTTAGGCCAGGGGTGCCCAAACTTGGTCCTGGAGGGCCGGTGTCCTGCAGATCCAGGTTGCCTCAACACACCTGCACGGATGTTTCTAAAAAGACTAGTTAGAGCTTGATTAGCTAGCCCAGGAGTGTCTGATTGGGGTTGGAACTAAACTTCGCAAGACACCGGCCCTCCAGGACCGAGCTTGGGCACCCCTGATTTAAACTATAGCTTCAATCTTTTTGTTTTGTTGTAAACTGTAACCCATCCCTGTCTCCTGTATACTGATTACTGTATTAAGCCATCACCTAATGGTTGGAGGCTTGTATGTGCGATCGGAAAGTCACAAGTTTGAGTCTCTGCACTGGCAGGTGGGTGATGGAAGTATAACCAGCGCTCTCATCGACCTCAATATCATGCGGTAGAAAGGACACTTGAGCTGCGGCACCGAGAGAGCAGTTGGCTCCAAAACGCAATTGTGGAGATATTTACGTATCATATATCTATTAAATAGAACATTTAAGACAGGTAGGTGAGCTCCAGACAAGGACTATAACTTATCAGTAAATCCAGAGCATATGGTTGAGGGCATGAAGTTTCAGTCTATTAAAAACGGTTAATAGTGAAGATGGGCTCTAGTTTCCATTCTACACTTAAGACTGGAGTACAGAACTAAATCTTACATTGAGTGATGAACATTTGAAGACAATTTGTCAAAACTGTAATGTCAAGAAATCAAGGCGTACACTTAATACAATTAAAAAACGATGAATCGTATTTATTGGTCCTGCCCTAAAATACAGGAATTCTGGGTTTAAGAGCACAGTTACTGGGACACCACCACTGGTGTGGAGCTCCACTTGGATGATGCGACGGCAGCCACAGGACAACGGCGCAAGTGTGCTAGAACAATGATAGAGCCAATTTGGTGGATGGGGATGATTGGGAGGCCATGATGGGTAAGAGCCAATGGAGGTCATTTTGGCCAGGACACTGGGGTTACACCTCTACTCTTTACGAGAAGTGCCATAAGATTATTAATGACCACAGGGAGTCAGGAGCTCAGTTTAACGTCTCAACCGAAAGAAGGTGCTCACTGACAGTATAGAGTCCCTGTCCCCTACACTTTACTGGACTATAAGGACCCACACAAACCACAGGTTGAGCGCCCCCTGCTGGCCTCACCAACACTGCTTACAACAGCAGCCTAGTTTTCTCATGTGGTCTCCCATACAGGTACTGACCAGGCTCAGCCCTGCTTAGCTTCAGTGAGTAACCAGTCTTGGGCTACATGGTGATATGGCTCTGGAGTGATGGAGAAAATATTTAGCATTTCTGAAGGCTGAATAAGGTCACTGCACAGTAAAAGTGTTATTATCTTATTTTATTTATATATTTATTAATATTATTGTTGTTATTTTATTATTTTGAGTTTTAATTATCTATCTGTGTTTATTGGATTTACGATAGCAACATTGAATTGCTGTAACTGACACTGCTGGGGAGGGGAAAGGAAAGGGGACGTTAAAAAGATGTAAAATTGTGTAAACGCGATGCTACTGTTAAATTTTTGAAGAAAATTAAAACAGAATTGAATCATAAAAAAGACAGACTTTTGCATGACTGAGCAAATTTATATAATTATAGAACAATTTCAGAATGATTTTGCCAAAGTTTACAGTACAGCCACCGGAGCAGCTATTCTCACATCAAGAATCTTTCCTACTCTTCACTTGTTGATAATGGATACAGGGAAGGAAAGGTCATCATGTTGAATAGTCTTCTAAACAGTGTTTAATCACACAAGTTACCCGTCTGTGCAAATTTCTCTTCAGCTGATGTTAAATATGATGAATCAGCATGTCAGATAAAGCAGAGAAATACTAATTGAGAAATATTGATCAGTGTAGAGCTGCAGATCTGAATGAGGATCAAATGTTGAGCTTTGAGGATGAAAACCAACCTGTTTGTTCCTCAGGATCTTCATGTTTGACTCTGAAAGTTTCTTCAGTCTCTTCATGTTTGACTGTGAATGTTTCTTCAATCTTGATGTCTTCACTCTCCTCTTTAATAAACGCCATCTTTATAATAATCTGCTGCTCTGTAAGTTTGGACAAGATGAAGAGCATCATTAACAGAGGAAAATGACTCAATCTCTGGCTTTGTCTCAGTTTAAAATAAAAATCTTTTTTCCTCATCTCTGTTCACCAGCGACTGATTTGGTGTTGATGATGAACTGATTTCCGGTAAAAAGGAAAAACTAAAGCTTTCTGTTATGTTCATATGGCCACACGAAAAAAAGATCATTAACGTTAAAATAAAAGTATAGATCCAATAATTACGACGTCATTTTAAATGTATTTCAACGATTATTATCTTGCCTGAAAGATGCATTTATATAATAGCTAAATTCCTAAAAACACAAACCTTTCACGATTGGATTCACAGCCGATAGAGCGACGCAGCCTGGTGACGTCACCAACAAGCCGACATAAAAGTCCCGTGTGTAAAATCACAACACAAGAAACACTGGAAATATATATAACTACTAAAAAAACAAACGAGTGTGAGATTCAGTCGAATAAAAATTACAATGTAATTATTTTAAAATCAGTCATCTCAGTACTAAAGTGTAAATGGTGAAAAACGATATAGGCTTACGCATACAAAATGTAAAAAAATGGGCAAATAAAATATATTGATCACATTATATAATAATGACAAACTGTTTAAATAATTAGTAATTTAATAGTCAGCCGAATGGTTCCCAAAGTGGGGGTCGGGACCTCCTGGAGGGTTGCGGGACAATGACAAGGGTTCACTTGGTGATTTCCAAAAGTCAAATAAAATGTATTCAACTACTGAAATTATCATAGTTTATCCATAACACACAGAAGATAAAAATAGTAGTTAACAGTGACATAAATAACATGTGAATGAAAACCCATCAGCATGTAATTTGTTTTCATATAATTGGTGTGTTTAGGGTAGATTAAAACACAACAATAGCATCAGGTTAAACTTTCTGACACCTTTATGGCAATAAAATACATAAAAAATGAACATTGAGAAGGATCTCTGAGTGGCAATCTCCAAAATCAAACCAAGAATAGACTTGTGCTGAAAACACCAGTCTCGTTAGGTCAGGTTAATATTAAATGAAACAAATTAATAATGACTATAAAAAGTATATGCTCGTTAGACTGTTACAAATGTTTGTGTTGTCAATATGCTTGTTTTTATATAAGCCTATTGTTGTGTGTGCAACGTTTGAATATTTATAACCACCTCCGAGGAATTTGGGGGGCGAGAGTCACTGACGTTTTTATTTTGGGGGTTGCGGGATAAAACTTTGGGAACCCCTGACCTAAGTAATATTTAATAAAATAGGATTACCTTTGTACACTCCCTGAATAAAGGGACAAATTCACACACTGCCGCTAGATAGCGCCACGTTATAACTCTGTATCAGTTCTTTTGTGTCCAAAGATTATACTTGTCAGACTCATAAGTGAGCCAATTTTGCGAGCAGCTCAGAAAGCTTGCTTCTGAACTCACTGTTTGCAGCAAAGCTTCTGACGCAAAGTACATGCTATTGGGTAGCTTGTATTTTAGATCAATGGTTTTTAGCATCGTTTTAAACCTTCCATTTTCACCATTGCTAAACATGTCTTTAGCAATGTCATAAGTTACTGCATTAGTTATATCATGCCACTTGCGACTTGTCTTTTCCTAGGGCACATCAGGTAAATGACGCTTCCAGAGAGCTGTGTTTCAGGGCAGATGTTTTGGGTTGCGGCTGCGTGGTCATCGTGGCTGAAGTTGTAAATACTCCTCGTACTTCACTTTATGGTAAAGCTGTAATGGTGGAGGAGATTTGATGTCCTTCCACATGTTGATGCAATCGATTTATAACATTCCTGCAGACGGGCTGTTTTTGATGCTCACCGGAAGCTTTAAATCCGAAACCATGTCCAGATAGGTGAACCATTGTTTTTCTTTTTCCTGACCAGTATGTTTTCTGTGTTGACCGGCGCTGCGTGTTTCCTCCAGTGATGGGTCATTCTTGAATAACTCGCTCATTTTGAATTAATCTTTTGTATGACTCGAGAACGAGGAGTCCTCTCAGGGAGTGAATCGTCATTTGTGCAGGTAGAGCTTGTGTGCTCCCTTGGAGTGGTCTGTTTTGCGTAGAATGCACATGAGCATGTGGCCTTAAACCACATCAATATGAAAGATATTAGATAATCCCGCATCACATTGGGGAATCAATATATACCGCCCAGCCCTACTGCTGAAAATACTGTAATGTACGTTTGAACGATTTGTGGGTGTTAATTGTAGAGCCAAGATGGGAAAAGACCATAAATCTTGATGATTACAATAATAGCATAGAAGAATAAACTTGTAAGATAAGCTTCCAGAAAAGCAGATGCACTGCACTTTGTACTCACACACCTGGACAATAAAAACACATATGCACGTATGCTGTTTGTGGACTTCAGCTCAGCATTCAACACTGTCATACCCTCCAAGTTACTGAACAAACTTAGAGACCTGGATATCGACACATCACTCTGCAACTGGATTATGGGCTTTCTGACTAACAGACCTCAGAATGTTAGATCAGGCCACATCTGCTCCACCACCGTCACACTCAACACTGGTGTACCACAGGGCTGTGTGCTGAGCCCCTTCCTCTACTCCCTTTTTACCATCGACTGTAGGCCTGTGAACAGATCCAACACCATCATCAAATTTGCAGATGACACCACAGTGATTGGTCTAATCAGCAACAATGATGAGACGGCCTACAGGGAGGAGATACAGCATCTGGCCACTTGGTGCACCAACAATAATCTGCTCCTTCACACCAACAAGACCAAGGAGCTCATTGTGGACTTCAGAAAGGGACGAACAGGCTCACATGATCACATCCACATCAATGGGATGGCTGTTGAGCCTGTCTCATCCTTTAAGTTCCTGGGGACCCACATCTCAAAGTACCTTTCCTGGACCACCAATACCTCCAGCCTGATCAAGAAGGCTCACCAGCGCCTATTCTTCTTAAGGCAACTGAAGAAGAACCAGCTTTCATCAGCCGTCTTGGTGAACTTCTACCGCTGCACAATAGAAAGCATCCTGATTAACTGCGTCACAGTCTGGTATGGAAGCTGCTCTGTTGCTGAGCGTAAGGCACGGCAGCGGGTGGTGAAAACTGCCCAACGCATCACAGGGACCACACTGCCAGCCATAAAGGAAACAGCTTTTTCCCCAGAGCTGTCTCCCTTCTGAACTCTGCCCCTCACTGACTCTTTTGCCCCCCTAATACACCCCCCACTCTTCTCTAACTTAAACTCCTCACAATCACTGCACTATTTAACATCTGCTCATTTAAAAATTGCACATATTCATTGCACTGATTCATTTATTTGAACTGTACATACCCACTGCACATGGACATTTGTAATTATGTACACACCCACTGTACTGTATTGTACTGTACTGTATTTTATTCATAGCTAATACAAGCTGTATGTAATGTTGATAGTACATCCATCTGTAAATATGACCATAGTTTTTCTATAACTGCACTTTATAACTTATTCCTGTATCCTGCACTTGCTGCTATTAGTGATGGGTCGTTCATGAACGATTCTTTCATGTTGAACGAATCTTCAATATGACTCGGGAACTACGAGTCCTCTCAGGGAGTGGTTCATTCATCCGCGCGTGAGCACATTTGTGCAGGTGGTATTGTTCATTTCACGTCTTTTAAGCCGGAAAGGCAGAAGCCAATCATACGCGTTTAGAACCGGAAAAATAATTAAACTGTTCATCTCTCGAGTCCTCTATCGGGTCTGAGTCGTTTGTTTATCACGGGCCAATCATATGCGTTTAGAGCCGGAAAAAGAACTGATCCGTTCATCTCTCCAGTCCTCGGGTTTGAGTCAGACTCAAAAACCAAAAGACTTAAAAGGTGAACTAATTATCATGGCTCCTATCGACTCAGACTGTGTTCATTGGTTAAGATTATATGTGACTGCCAGTGTAACGTGAACGAACCCCTGACATTTGAAGACATGAAGAGGTGAGCTGAGCAAAGAGACAACAATGCCTTCATAGACAAAAGAGCAGGTCAACATTGAATTATTATTTTCTCCTTCTTATAGTATTCTATTGATGACTTATTTGTTGTGTGATCAACCGTTTGGGCTAGCTGTAGATGTGTTTGGAAGCAATTCGTAACATTTTAATAATATTTTGGCAAATTGAACCAAATGAACGAAATGACTCGAAAAAAGATTTGTTCATCTCGATGAATGAGACTCAAAGATCCGAGTCAGTAAAATGATCACTTGCTGCTATTGCATTGCTGGTTAGAGCTAAACTTCATTTCGTTGCTTTGTACTTGTACATGTGTAATGACAATAAAGTTGAATCTAATCTAATAAGCTTGTGGCATAAAATAAATATGGATTATGACATGATTAGCTTTTCATAAAACGTATATTGTGTGTGAAGTAATGCATTCAGTTTATTTTGGGGGTGTTAAAGAGTGCACTTACACTATGCTATACGAACCGTGCCCAGGCCCATTTTCCGGATTGTTTGAGAAGTGTGAGTGCTCTGAATCGGGCTCAGGCATGGTTCACTTGGCCGGCCCTGGCCCGGTTGGAAGAGGTGTGCCAGAGCGGTTCACTTGGGCTTACTTAGGCTCAGGTAGTGTGTAGTGTGAGTGCAAAGCACGCCTGAGCCCGAAACTGAAGACGAGACGTGACTTTTAAGGGACTGTTTCATATGGGTTTATTAATCATTCTTCTGTTCAATAAACACAAACTATCGTAGATTATTAAAGACACAAACTCCTCACTGCACCACAGCTGCACCTTCAGCAGACCTCCTCATTCCTGCAGCACGAGGGCTTAATGATTGTTTATGAGCATCAAAAGTGGCGGATCTGTTCGGCGAAATTTTTGACTGCGTCACTGCATCTAAAACGACTAAAACAATATAACTAAAGAAATGTCCACTGTGCTGAGTGAAAGCGATTACTGAACAGCGCACCATCGATGACGTAAGTGGCTCAGGCACAAATGCAATGTGAATGCGGGCTGTCGGGGAAGACGGGAAGGGGGACAAGCATGCTTCGGCCCAGTTCATGGCAACTGTACATAATCCGAGTACGGCCAAAGAGTAGAATCAAGAAGGGTAAGGGCCATAAATCTACTTTAATACATTTACATTAATCAGAAACAAAACTATAACATGACACTGAATTCATTCCTTTTAGTGCAGCACCACAAGGTTTGGTGTGACCTCATCTGGCTAACCCATTGAAAATTCTCTAGGGGTGCCACTGGTGTAAAGCTTTACAGTATTATGAGGCATCACATGGGAATCAAGGAAGTGTTTGCATCTGAAAGTTGGTCCCCAGTGTGAACTCTCATATGCTCCTTAAGGTTTTTTTTCCAAGGGTAACTCTTTCCACACTGACTGCAGGCGTGAGGCCTTTCTCCAGTGTGAACCTTCATGTGGCTTCTAAGGTTTGGTTTACAAGTGAAACACTTCCCACACTGTTGGCAAGTGAACGGCTTTTCTCCGGTGTGAATCCTCATATGATCGGTGAGGTTTTGTTTACAGGTGAAATTCTTCCCACACTGTAGGCAAGCGTGAGGCCTTTCTCCCGTGTGAGTCCTCATGTGCTCGGTGTAGTATTGTTTCCATGTGAAACTCATTCCACACTGTTGGCAAACGTGAGGCCTTTCTCCAGTGTGAATCCTCATATGGTCTATAAGGATATGTTTCTGAGTGAAACCCTTTCCACACTCTTGGCAAGGGTAAGGCCGTTCTCCAGTGTGAACCCTCATGTGGATTGTAAGCATATGTTTCCGAGCAAAACACTTCCCACACTCTTGGCAAGTGTACGGCTTTTCTCCGGTGTGCATCCTCGTGTGTGTTATGAGGTACCGTTTCCAAGTGAAACTCTTCCCACACTGTTGGCAGGTGTACGGCTTTTCTCCGGTGTGAATCCTCATGTGGTCAAGAAAGTTTTGCTTCTGTGTGAATATCTTTACACACTGGTGGCATTTGAAAGGCCTTTCTCCATTGTGAATCCTCATGTGGTTTGTAAGGTACTGTTTCCGAGTGAAGCTCTTTCCACAGTGATGGCAGGTGTTCGATTCGGCTGTTTTTTGCGAGGTTTCCGTCTGTTCTGATGCTTCTCCAGATCTGAGATCAAGACATCCCTCATCTTGAACAGTCTCTTCCGTCTCATTCTGTTCTTGACTCTCATCTTTGAGTGGCATCAGCTCTACAGAGGACAAAAAATAAATACAATCCAACAAATTTAAAACAGAATAACATACAATTTTATTAAAACAATACTAGATTGTTAAAAGAATTCAATGCATTTAGGGAAATTTTACAAATTCCCGTGTAGTTTACTACGCTGTGGGTAACATTTTCTGAAGCATGTATGTATTATGATTTATATAAGGTATTTTTAAGGGTGTCAAAATTAATCGTTTTTTCGGTGCACCGCGATGCAGACGCAGACAATTCGGTAACGGTTCAGTAATAATCATAACCGGTTATTACTGACGTCATTTACCTCATATTCGCGAGGGAGGCGAGCGTGAGTATTTACAACGCTCTCACAACTTAAAACTCATAAACTGTGCACAATTTCACTGTGTGTGTTTGCTGGATCAGTTTTTCACAGGCATAAACAGCAAAAGCCCCTATTTTAATGAGATCGAGAGAATGAAAGTACTTTATTTCTCTCTCTATCTCTCTCTCACACACACACACACACACCCAGTGGCCCATTTGACCTGCTGGCGTGGCTTTTCTTCTCCTCTCGGCTGTTTTACAGCGTTACTTCTGAATACAGAAACGTGCTTGTGCCTGCAGAGTTTTCTCCACCGTGTCTATCATAGATCAGCTGTGATCGCCGCTGCCGCCTGCTTATCAGTGTCACTCATCTGAAGAGCGCAAGAGCCAATCGCAACTGTTTTTGTTGAGGGTGTGACCAATCAGAGGGGTGTAAGAGAACTAGACAAAGATCAGAAATCGAGCTGGATATTTATATTTGTTTATATTATTTGCTAAATGCTCGTGTTGTTTAAAGGTACAGTTTATATATCTGACTGTGTTAAATGCCAAAATTGTATTACAAATAGTATATAAATATTAATATATTTATACTTTTTAATACAAGAACTGCTGCTGTGAAGAAAATATAACACTGTGTATGAAAAGCATCGTGATGCACCGAGATATCGAATTGAACCGAATGGCATGATAATCGTAACCGAGCCGAGCCGTAAGGCTGGTGTAGGTTCACACCTCTAGTATTTTTAATGCACTATAATACATCAAATAACCACTAACACAATATATTAGTAAAACTTCACAATGGGAAACATGTGCAGTTAAAAGCAGAAGTTGTCTTACACTGTATAAAAAGGTACATAATTATTTAAAAACAGTCGGATGTTAATGTGACTAAACTTCTCTTTTAGGAAAGTTAGGATGATCACATGTGTTTCTGTTCTGCTTAACAGCAGAATAATGAGAGATTTGTTTTAGAGAAATGGTTATAACTCTTCTTGAAACTCAAGTTTACACACAATAAGATTATTCTGCCTCTGTAAAGCTCAGATGATGATGTCAGGGTTTTGGAAGTTTCTGATTGGCTACATTTAAGTTAATGTGAGGCACAACTGTAGAATAGTATTGCAGGAAAAGCTCAAACACACTGCTTCCTTGTGTGACAACATGGGAAAATCAACAAGCCACAATCAACAGCAAAGCCAGATTACAGTATGCTTAATGACTCTGGGGAAAGACTGATGTGTGGAGACATGTCCTGTGCTCTGATGGAGCCAAGATTGAACTGTTTGGTCATAATGAGCAGTGTTACATTTGGAGGACAAAGTGGAAAGCGTAGAAACAAGCCTAGAAACACCATCCCAACTGTGCAGTATGGGGGCGGCAGCATCATGTTGTGGGGCTGTTTTGCTGCAGGAGGGACTGGTCCACTTCACAGCATAGATGGCATCATGAAGACAGAACATTATGGAGGAATACTGAAGCAACATCTCAACATATCAGCCAGGACATTACAACTCAGCCACAAATGGCTCTTCCAAACAGACCATGACCCTAAACACACTGCCAAATCAGTTCACATGTGCTTTAAGGACAGCGGAGTGAATGTTTTGGAGTGGCCATCACAAAGCCCTGATCTCAATCCTATAGAGAATGTGTGGGCAGAGTTGAAAAAATTTCTGCGAGCAAGACAGGCTACAAGTCTGACTCAGTTACAGCAATTCTGCAGGAGGAATGGGTCAAAACTCCTGCAAACTATTGAGAAGCTTGTGGAAGGAGACCCAAAACACTTGACCAAAGTTATACAGTTTAAAAGGAGAGCTAAAAAATACCAAGGAAATGTGTGCAAACTTTTGACTGTCTAGAAATTCATAAAAAAACATTCTCAAAAAACAATCCTCTCATTAATCTGGCATTTAGCAAGTTTAAATCATTTAGGTAATACAAACAGACCCAAAATAGTAAACGTTTAGTCTGATTTACCATCAGACATTTTTTTAAACTATTAGCTGTCAGAGATTCAAATCATGCTGTGTGCAGTGTGTTCTGATTGAAGAGTCCATTTGAGGTTCTTAAACCTCACAATATGTTTGTGTTGTATATGTTTTGAACATGCATACAATAGTATTTGTTGTTATTGTACATTAAGTCTGTGTATTTGCAGTGCAATGTAGTTTAGACTAGAGCATATAAATACAACACAGTCGCTCAGTTGTAATAAATTCAGCAGATTCACGGGTTTGTTTGCAAAACTCTGAGAACCATCAAAACAGATTAACACTGAAAGAAACTAAAGGTGGTAATTAGTTACTTTGTAAATAAACGAGTTACATTACTTCATCTTTCCTGAAATGTTTTACTCTTAAAATACAAACCAGTATCAGTCCTCAGATCTGCCTGACACTTCAGCTCTGATCAGTTCATCGTGTGTAAAAGTCTGTGCAAAGTTCTCTTCAGCGGATGTTAAATATGAGGAATATGATGTCAGATAAAGCAGTTTACTGAGAAATATTGATCAGTGTCGAGCTGCAGATCTGAATGAGGATCAAATGTTGAGCTTTGAGGATGAAAACCAACCTGTTTGTTCCTCAGGATCTTCATGTTTGACTCTGAAAGCTTCTTCAGTCTCTTCATGTTTGACTGTGAATGTTTCTTCAATCTTGATGTCTTCACTCTCCTCTTTAATAAACGCCATCTTTATAATAATCTGCTGTTCTGTGGGTTTGGACAAGATGAAGAGCATCATTAACAGAGGAAAATGACTCAATCTCTGGCTTTGTCTCAGTTTAAAATAAAAGTCTCTTGTCCTCATCTCTGTTCTCCAGAGACTGATTTGGTGTTGATGATGAACTGATTTATGATATAAAGACAGAAAATAAACGCAGCTTTACTGTTATTCAGATGTGGAAGAGTCAGAATAACGTTCATTAACGCTTAATAAAACATTACATTCATCAATATATTCAATAATAATGGCGTTACAGTTTAATCATTCAGCAGCTGTAATCCTGCCTGAACGGGTAACATTTATATAATCGATAAAATGATTATAAACACAAACCTTTCTCGAGTAGATTCACAACAAACCGGAGCGCGGCGCCGCCTGATGACGTCACCGTCATGCCGAGATAAAAGTCCCGTTTCTAAAATCACAACACACGCCACTGACTCGCTGGAAATGTTTATAACTGCCTAAAATAAAGAGTGCGAAATTCGGACGAATTGTAAATGTACAAATATAATTATTTTAATACCAGGTATCTCTGTATTAAAATGCTAATTTAATATAATAAAAACATTATTTACAAGTATCAAAATATTAATTAAATGACAATAAGATATACAAACACACACACACACACACACACACACACACATATATATATATATATCTGCTGATAGCTGTGTGATATTCTTGTAAAGCCTCTTCACCTTTGTGTACTCAGCCCACATGAAGTGGCAGCAGATCAATAAACTCACTACATACAGTGAGTTCTCATTATATTTAAGTTCACAACAATATATATTCTCATTATATTTGAGTTCTCATTTAAGATTTGTTTCAGTTGTTGTGTATGGTTTGAGGACTTGTTTCCAGCTGTTTGTGTAAAGTTGTAGGACATTTAAACTTGCTTTCAGTTGTGTATAACACTAGAAGTTGTTTAGCCACTGTTTCCTTGGTTACTATAAGAGCTTGTGTAGCGAACACAGACGCGGTTCGCGTCGTCCGCCTCAGTTTCGGCCCTTGTTTTGACTCGGGAGGCGTGTCCAAACGCCAGGTAACCACTATATAGTGAGCACGGTAGCATTAGTCGGCAGGAGAAGCACTTTAGCAGCATCTAGAACAGCAGCCTGTAAGTACATTTAAGATTTGTTTCAGTTGTTGTGTATGGTTTGAGGACTTGTTTCCAGCTGTTTGTGTAAAGTTGTAGGACATTTAAACTTGCTTTCAGTTGTGTATAATACTAGAAGTTGTTTAGCCACTGTTTCCTTGGTTACTATAAGAGCTTGTGTAGCGAACGCAGACGCGGTTCGCGTCGTCCGCCTCAGTTTCGGCCCTTGTTTTGACTCTCGAGGCGTGTCCAGCTGAATTCAATCAGCTAGTGCTTTGGGGTTATATAAACAACTAGTTCACCGCGGCAGCGGTCGCGGCAGCCTCGTGTGAAGACCGACGAGGGTAAAGACCATCGACTCTACCTGCGCGACTCCACCGAGCAAAGACACCGACAAAGCACTTGAGTACTTTACTTTATTGTTTTACTTTACACTTATTTTTTGTTGTCAGTGCACTTTTATTATGTGTTTACTAATTCCTGTTGTTACTAACACTCGCAAAACACGGGAGGTACGCTGCAGGCGTAATCCTCACAACCTTCGTTCAATACATGTATCTACTATTTCACAACTCTCTCTCTCCGTGGGCCTCTGGAATTGTCAATCAGCTGTTAACAAGGCTGATTTTATTACCTCCATAGCTACATATTCTGACTATAATCTCATGGCTCTAACTGAGACCTGGTTGAGGCCGGAGGACACTGCTACACATGCTACTCTGTCTGCTAATTTCTCTTTTTCCCACACTCCTCGTCAGACAGGGAGAGGGGGTGGGACTGGACTACTAATTTCCAAAGAATGGAAATTTACTCTGATACCGTCCCTGCCAACAATCAGCTCCTTTGAATTCCATGCAGTCACCATTATCCACCCCTTCTACATAAATGTGGTTGTCATCTACCGCCCACCAGGTAAATTAGGTCACTTCCTAGATGAACTGGATGTTCTTCTCTCATCTTTTTCTAATTTTGCCACTCCCTTATTGGTGCTAGGTGACTTCAACATTTACGTTGACAAACCGCAAGCTGCAGACTTTCAGACTCTGCTTGCCTCTTTTGACCTAAAAAGAGCACCTACTTCTGCTACCCACAAATCAGGTAATCAGCTAGACCTTATTTACACACGACACTGCTTCACTGATCAAACAATAGTAACTCCACTACAAATATCTGATCATTTCCTTCTGTCTCTCAACATCCACATTACTCCTGAGCCGCCACACACTCCAACACTGGTTACCTTTCGCAGAAACCTACGATCTCTCTCACCCAATAGACTATCCACCATTGTTTCAGACTCTCTTCCTCCATCTCGCAAACTCACTGCACTTGATTCGAACAGTGCCACTAATACACTCTGCTCCACACTAGCATCATGTCTAGACCGATTATGTCCTCTTGCATCCAGGCCAGCCCGTGCCAGTCCTCCTGCACCCTGGCTCTCGGATGCTCTCCGTGAGCATCGCTCAAAACTTCGGGCTGCAGAGAGAATTTGGCGGAAAACTAAAAATCCTGCACATCTCTTAACATACCAAACTCTTCTGTCCTCTTTCTCAGCTGAGGTTACTTCTGCAAAGCAGACGTATTACCGTCTGAAAATCAACAATGCCACTAATCCTTGCCTACTTTTTAAAACATTTTCCTCCCTCCTCTATCCTCCTCCTCCACCCGCATCCTCCACACTTACTACTGATGACTTTGCTACATTCTTCTGCACCAAAACTGCAAAAATCAGTGCTCAATTTGCTGCACCTACAACAAACACGCAAGATACAACACCAACACCACACACACTCACCTCTTTTTCTCAGCTCTCTGAGTCTGAGGTGTCCAAACTTGTGCTATCTAGCCACGCAACCACCTGTCCACTCGATCCCATTCCCTCTCATCTCTTGCAAGCCATCTCTCCTGCAGTCATACCAACACTGACTCACATAATTAACACATCTCTTGACTCTGGTTTATTCCCCACTACATTTAAGCAGGCTAGGGTAACCCCACTGCTAAAGAAACCCAACCTGGACCATACGCTACTTGAAAACTACAGACCAGTATCCCTGCTTCCATTCATGGCCAAGATTCTGGAGAAAGTAGTGTTCAATCAAGTCCTGGACTTTCTTACTCAAAACAATCTCATGGACAACAAGCAATCCGGCTTTAAGAAAGGCCACTCAACTGAGACTGCCCTGCTCTCGGTCGTGGAGGATCTCAGACTGGCTAAAGCAGACTCTAAATCATCAGTCCTCATTTTGCTGGACTTGTCAGCTGCTTTTGACACTGTCAACCACCAGATCCTGCTATCTACGCTTGAGTCACTGGGCGTTGCGGGCACTGTTATACAATGGTTTAGATCTTACCTCTCTGACAGGTCATTCAGGGTGTCTTGGAGGGGAGAGGTGTCCAACCTACAGCATCTAAACACTGGGGTACCTCAAGGCTCTGTTCTTGGGCCACTTCTCTTCTCCATCTACACATCATCTCTAGGACCAGTCATCCAGAGACATGGATTCTCCTACCACTGCTATGCTGATGACACCCAGCTATATCTCTCTTTTCATCCTGATGATCCCTCGGTTCCAGCTCGTATCTCAGCCTGCCTGTTGGATATTTCACACTGGATGAAAGATCATCATCTTCAGCTGAACCTCGCAAAAACGGAAATGCTTGTAGTTTCTGCCAACCCGACTCTACACCATAACTTTTCAATCCAGATGGATGGGGCAACCATTACTGCATCCAAAATGGTGAAAAGCCTTGGAGTAACGATTGATGACCAACTAAACTTCTCTGACCACATATCTAGAACTGCTCGATCGTGCAGATTTGCACTCTATAACATCAGAAAGATCCGACCCTTCTTATCTGAACATGCAGCTCAACTCCTTGTTCAAGCTCTTGTTCTCTCCAAACTGGATTACTGCAACTCTCTACTAGCTGGGCTTCCAGCTAACTCTATCAAGCCTCTTCAACTGCTCCAGAATGCAGCAGCACGAGTTGTCTTCAATGAACCTAAACGAGCACATGTCACTCCGCTGCTAGTCCGTTTGCACTGGCTGCCAGTTGCTGCTCGCATCAAATTCAAAACTCTGATGTTTGCCTACAAAGTGACTTCTGGCCTAGCACCTTCTTATCTGCACTCACTTCTGCAGATCTATGTGCCCTCCAGAAACTTGCGTTCTGTGAATGAACGTCGCCTCGTGGTTCCATCCCAAAGAGGGAAAAAATCACTTTCGCGAACGCTCACGCTCAATCTGCCCAGTTGGTGGAATGAACTCCCTAACTGCATCAGAACAGCAGAGTCACTCGCTATTTTCAAGAAACGACTAAAAACTCAACTATTTAGTCTCCACTTCACTTCCTAAGCTGCAATTGCCTCTTTGAATATCACACTAATTGTACAAAAAAAAAAAAAAAAAAAAAAAAAAAAAAAAAAAAACTACTAACACTTCCCTTCTTAGACTTTACAGACCTGAAACTTGCCTTTAGTACTTATTCATTGTTGCTCTTAGTTGTGTAAATTGCTTCCTTGTCCTCATTTGTAAGTCGCTTTGGATAAAAGCGTCTGCTAAATGACTAAATGTAAATGTAAATGTAATTATATACCTATAAACATCTAGTTATTGGGTCAGAAAGAGGAATCTTACAGCAAAGAAAAGCCAATAATGCAGGTTTACAAGAAGCTTTTTCTAATTGCAACCATGTTGAATTACCAGAAGGATAATACAATGCAACAAATTTAATGTAGTGACATTTGGAAGAGATAGTCCACCAAAAGAACATAAAATAAACAGGTTAAAATAAAAATAATAATAAATATATCTGACTTTAACTGTTTATAATATTTATTAAAACTTAAAGTAACTGCATGTCTATCGTATGTAGTTTCAAATTAAATTATTACTCCAGTCATTATTGCTTTCATTACTATTAACAATAATATTAATTAATATAATTGTGATTTCTGAAGGATCATGTGACTCTGAAGGCTAGAGTAATGAAGCTGAAAATTCATCTTTAAAATCCCTGGTATAAATAATTATATTAAATGATAATCTACTTTTGAACAGT